AAAATATACAACTTCTCTTAGGAAAATAATTACAATATGGGAGGGAAAATAATTTATTGATATTCTTCAGTGCTCCATTACTTTCTAGCTTATTTTTCTTTTAAATGATGCTTATACAGACAAACAGAAGGATAAAAAGGAAATATCCTTTTCCAACTTTCATGAGGACATAAGGATGTCAACCTAAGAATTTGTAACTCAGAAGTAATGAAAATCAAGGGTAGGTTTTTTTCTTTTTTAAGGAATAAAGAATTTCTACTTCTTAATTAGAAGCCTGTTAGAATAACCTTAGAGACAGGGAGGATAGATAGCAACAAGCCTCCAAAAAAGGAATTAGCAAAAGAAGAGATCTTCATTGTCATTTCTCCTTGACGCAGCAAAATTCTTCTCCTCTCTATGCTACAAGTTAATCAAATGGGATCTTAACTAATCAGTTCATTAAGATACCCTCCACAGTTTTGGAAACTGTTCCAGAGTATGTTTGGAAACTTTCTTTGATGGTTATACTGCAGTTATTGTTTAACCAAGCTGCATTATTTAGGTTGGCTAATTCACCCCTTCCCCCCAGCTTTACTTTTAATACTTTCCCGTCATTAATTTATTTCCTCATATTAAAATAAAAAGTCAAGATGTTTTGACAAGCTCTCTATATGTACACTGCTCATTCTTCACTGTGCCAGAGCTACCTTTTATGACAGATTTTCCTTTCAACAGGAAAAGACCAACGTTAATGAGGCTATTATTGTATGGAACATTTTTCAAAAAAGTAACCAGAACTGTATCTGATGCTTTTAATCTAGTGAAGGACAATGCAGTGTAAGAATATGAAGCTTTACTTTCTCTGGAGCCAAAGGAAAATAGAAACGTCCTGGGAAAAGGTATGGGTCCCATCTTAACAAGTAACAGACAGACTGTCACAGAATCGGGAGTTAACAGAAGTCATATGGACAGAGCTCAGCATAGGCTGCCACCTGAAAAATCTTCTAGAAAACATATATTGGAGAAAAAAAAACCCCAAACAAACACCAAGAACATTATGGTACTTCAGGGACACTAAACCACTACATTTTTGGTGTCCCAGGAAGTGCTCTGTCTTCATTGAGGTCAGCATTTGAGAACAAAGTCTCAAAACTAAAATTCCCTACGAGCCAAGTACACTTAGTAACGCTACAAGCTGTATAACTAGACTGACTTGTCATTTCAAACTACTTTGTGGAGAAATAAACACAACTACATGTTCACACATTAAAAAAATATCTAAGACATTGTACCACTGCAACAAGTTACTCAAAAGAACTGGCTTCAGAAGCAACACTATTTCAACCCTATTGTTGATGACATTATGATATACTATTTTCTAAGTGCACAATAATACTGAATGACCTCGAGAAATTATTTGATTTATATAGTTTATCCAGCAGCCCATAACAGCAAGTCTCTCTTTCATTTGGGCTTATGCCACATGTACATGAATGATTTAATCCTTACAAATGGATACAAATGTTTATCCCACGGATACAAGGACGTGAAACTGCTCTTAAAAATAATTCAGTATATCACTGACTTAGAGGCTAGAGCATATCTGCTCCTTTGCAACACTGAGCTTCATGCCGTGTTTATTACAAGGACTCTCAAGTTCAGCAAGCTAGTCCTCTAATTAGCCAGATCTCTTCTTTTACCTTCCTGATTTCTACCAGTCTAAGGTTGTATGATGTATCGCCTCCCTTTAAAAATGCCTGAACCACAACCAGATTTTTCTCTTTTTCTGCTTGATGTTCTAGGAATCAAACACTTAAAAGTTAAATAACAACATCTGCCTCTATAATCTTCATAACTTCCCCGTGCCATCAAGATGGCTGCCACATGTCTGAAATTAGAGAGGAATGAAACAGTGAGTCTCCTTATGCTCTGGAGAAAGGCAAACGCCAGCAAAGGCTCAAGAGAAGTGTCATAAAAACGTTTGCTAAACTAAGCATTCCAGTGCTGTTCCAAAGCCAAGACCTTCAAGTTACAATGCAGGGAACCTAGAAACATAAAGCACGTGTCTGGCATGGACCTAAATCCTTACTGAGAGAATATGGACTGGATCTTACCAGGGGTATTAGTAACAAAACACACTTTGTGGGAGATTCTGGAATAGATCTCTACAAGTCCTTGTCAGTAGCAATAAAGTCTCCCCATGACGCTGCCTTCAAGAGCCAAAAAAACAGTAGAGGCTTCTAATGCTTTCTCATTCCATTGTCTTTGTTACAACTCTAAAGCTGCAATTCAAGACATGTATAATAATGCATTTTATGGTAAATATAGTCTAAACTACCTCAAAGTCTACTGACAGCATCACTGAATTTACAGGTATTCTGCTGCATGGACTAACTAAACAAAATCTGATCGACAAAATTGATTCTTTCCAACTCTAAATTAAACTGAAAATTAAATATTCCTGCTTCACAGAGGAGCCCAGTGCAGCCAGTACCAATGTCTCAAACAAAGCCTTCTCCAAACCTTTCTCAATGGATTATTGATACCATAACATATACAGTGAGAGATTATTCAGCCACAAGCACCTCACAGTTGATCTGTTTTCTAATGCAAGACTTTTATCATTTTCTCACCAGACAGTGCAACTACAGATCACAGATCAATTAATAAGATCCTTTAAGAGCTCTTCTTTAGATCTTACTAATTTCTTATCAAAACAACTATACGTTGGTAGATGCATGTCACCTATACACGTAGTACTTTTAGCAGATTGATTTTTTGAAAATAAATTATTAGTTATTTTACGGTAATTCCCAAGACCTCCAAGAAACCTTCTCTCTTCTAAAACTTCTTTTACAGAGTTTTAGTACAACACTTTTTCTGTTTCTTCTTTAAGACAAAAATTTTATCTGTACATTCAAAGCTCTTCCACATGCCTTTCAGCTATATTCCAGCACAGCTTTCCTGAAACAAGTCTGACTAGCTTAAGTACAGTCTTCAAGAGGTAACACCTTTGGTCAATTATTTTCAGTATTCTCCATTTCTTTTAGTATAGTCTACTTTCTTTTTTTTTTTTTTTTTAAGTCTTTATTGACCTTAGGCTCAATCAAGCCTAATCAATTGCTTGATTTAATCAAGCAATTCAGAATTTAATGCTCAATTGTTCAGTGTAACAGGATTGCTATAATGAAGATGAAGTAAAAGGATTTGTGTAAGTAGCGGAGCAATGGAGAAAAGAGAAAAAGAAAAAAAGAACAGTGACTCACAGGATCTTTGCCGTTTACAGGCAACACACTAACACTGATGGTAACTCATTACTTCCAAAGAGCTCAAAAAGTTCCTTCTAACGTTGATTACTTTACTTTTATCTAGAAGAAACACAATTCATTATACCTCCTACAAGAAAACAGGACCAACTTGCATACTGCTCCCAAACCAGAAGGTCATGCCCAGGAAACAGCATAACTACGGAAGGCTACAGCAAGGTGTTATCTAGGTTCTTCTGTTCTGTAGCGGATCTTTCATTAATGCACCAGTTCAATAGTTATGGTGCCCACTCTACCTATGACCATACAGAGAAGCTTTTCAGTCACTGAAAGAACCATAAGATACCTGAAGCTGGGCAGAAAGAAACCACAGACAACTAAGGACAAGAAACAAATTATGAAAAAAATTGCAGGACGGCTTGTTAAAACACTGAAATTAATACCTGTCCCTACCATTAAATTAATAGGTCCTTCTCCCACAATGCTAATACTTTCAGACTTTTTCTTATTCACTGGGTATTCCACTATTACAATTTTTTCACAATTATTTCAATCTGGGCCAAAGGTAGTGGTGACTCATACAACTTCCTTTCAACATGAATGCAGTTGCTCCTGGTTAGTTGTTAGCAGTCCATCCATACAAACCCAAGGTAGTATTTTGGTAACGTCTCTTTAAAAGTAAATAAACTATTGTATTTTCTGTTCATCCCACTTATAGTCTCCCCATACTGTATTGCTTTGCTGCCAAGAACACTGAAAAGGACACAGGATTTGTGAAATTTATTTGTTGTATGTAGGCAAGGACAATCTTGCTGGGTCTTCTTTTTTTTTCCTTAACATTTTTAACTGATTCTATCCTCAGTACTAGCTACCTTTCATTATTATGCAATCACCTTCAAATTAATTTGATTAAACTGAATTTGATTAAACCTCATGCAAAACTAGCCATTCCAGTCACATTCTGCAACCCTTAAAAAAACCCACCAACAAAAAACCCAAACAACAACAAAAAACCAAAGCCCCCAAAACCACCACAGAAACAAACCACTGGACAAATAACAAATAAACCACTGGATAAGTAATAAATAAACCAGATCTTGCGGGAAGGTTTTCAGACAATATTTGAAAGTAGTTTGTTAATCAATAGCAAAAATTTTTAACTAAACTAGTTCTGCTTACAAATAATCAACATAAAAATTGTCATCTTGCTGTTGTCATACTAATTGAGAAATAAATATCTGCACATTTCTGCGGCTTCTCAAATGAACATTTTTCAACAGAATTTTAACAAATGTGACTCGACATGCCAATTATGTAAAAAATTAAACCCTATGATAAATACAAAAATAAACCCTATATACACCTATGCATAAATCCCATCAGAAAACGATCCATAACATCCAACTTTCAGTTAACGTCGATCAGTATCACAGCCCTCACTTTGTAGCTTCGATAAAAGACAATCCAATAGTTTTAGCCTAGCTAGTATCTAACTAACAAGATTTATTTGTTGTAAGAGATTAATTTAGTATAACAAGTTCAACTGGAAGAGCCCAGCTTCTAGAACAACTAATTTAACTTCCTCTGCAAGAAATACGCTTATTTTCAGGCATCACTGGTATTTTCTGTGGAAAGAACACAAGATAACCAGAAATGTATATCTGCAAAGCCTCTGTCATGATCGTATGCAATGATTCTTAAGAGAACCATACGCCAGTTTGGCACTGTAATTCAGGAAAGAAAACATTCACTTACCGCAGTGTGACTGGAAAACCTGTGGCTTGACTACCTGATTGCAGATATTGCACACTACAAGATAGAAATCATCATGAGCTGGATAATGGCCAAATAAGTGCATATCTGTGGGAAAGTTAAAAATATATACAAGAATTAGAAATTATGCTTTAAATATATATTAAGAAAAAAAAAAGAAAATACTGTAGGGCCACTACTGTTATATTAATTTATACAAAGCAAATTTATACATTGCTCCATAAGAGCTTCTTATATATGTTAAAGAAATTTATTTTTTCCTCTTCTGGGTTTCAAGGTTCTGCTGCAGTCTCATCCCTCAGTCTGAGTCAAAACACAGGCAGCAACACCTTTGTCTTAACACTCACTGCCAAGAAGTGGAATAAGCATTTTTATACTGGTCAACTGTTGAAACAGTAAAAGAATGTGTCTTTTAAAAATCTCTGCCTAAAGATCCTTTCAGAAAACACAGCGCACACGTTATGCTCCATGTTCCAATATTCCAAGTTTTACTACAAATTGCTAAAGAACTCCTGCTTAAAAGCTAGTTATAGTAACCAAGGTTAAGGATCCTACAGCTTAAAATACGGTCAGGAATGTCATTCCTGTTTTGAACCAGATGCCATGACGTGAAATTTCTGATTCTGTGTGAACGTCCCTCCTAGTTCAAATGCCCTGCTGTTTGTTGCCCCAGCAAAAACTCTGGGAAGAGACAAAGTTGGTTAATGAGGTATTTCTCAATGACGGCATGAGGAATTTCATGAAATCAAAAGACGGGTACAGTCAGACAATGACAGACACTTGTCCCTCTCACATAATGCAACACATGCATTCTTAAGCCATTACAAACACTGAGTAAAATAGGCTTAAATTACTACTGAAGGTCTCAGAGCTCTAACATTACAAGTGAGGTAACTTGTTTCACTCTGTATTGCTTTACTTAAGAACAAGCACACATACTCACCCACCGCAACTCAGCTTAGAGGGCAGAAACTCCAGTCACTTTTATGCACTTTGGCATGATCATGTCACCACACCCAGTGTTGTTAACGAAGGTGTTGCTGCATTATTAACCCTGTGCTGAGTATCGGCCACACAGATCGCACTACCTCTCAGAACAGGGCAGTGACATCTTTATTTAAAGGTGTCATAAAATGGCATTCCAGTGTTATTCAGCAGCATCTGAAATCTATTATAGAACTTGCAAACGTGGCTTATGACTCGGACTGAAATATCAACGTGGCGCCCTTTAAACTGGAGGGAAAAATGTGAAGACCCTCAGTAAGGACAACCATGTGCAGCAGCAGCCGTGATTGATAAACATCAGCAACCAAATCCTACTTCTCCAATAAATACAAGTAATATTTTTCTTTAAAAATAGTGATTTCTTTCAATAAGTGACTCAAGCAGGTTCCTTATTTCATTAGTTCTTAACCAAAGCAAACATTTTGGCTCTAGAACTATTTTTATAAGTAATTCTGCCCTGGCCTGTACCACTGTGTAAGTAACATCACTACTTAAGATAGCAGTATTTGCGTGATGAAGCGCAAAGTATCTTCAGTCCCCAAAAAACCCACAGAGGAAAGGGGCACCCCTCTTGTAGTAATTCAGGCAGTTATCACAGGTAGATACAAACAGAGTTGTTCAAGCATCCTTCGGCACAAACTAGCACCACCAAGCTGCAGGTTATTTCATAGTCTGATACAATGTGAATGGTTCCTTTACACTCTGAAAACCAAAAGTCTCTCTCTCTGTTACCGCTCATACCAGGCTACGAAATCCAGTTGAAACATTAACCAATCATGACCCCTTTGCAGTGCTAGTCTTGGACTAAACAAGCCTTTAAATGCATTACAGCCAGATGAATACAATCAACACATCCAATTTAGAAGAATGACAGCGGTGAGGTATAAACTCCTTTGGTAATTTCTTGTAGGTAGTGTTAGTACTGATGAAGCCAAAACTGCCCAGTTAGATTAAACCAAATCCTCCCTACTAGTAAAGTAAACAAACAAAACCCTAAACAGGCACTATGTCTGGCCTGTTTATTTTATTTCTTGTTTTAATGTGACAAGTCAGTGACCTTAAAAATCACTTAACATTGGCAATTCTTAGCCAAGGATATATTTGATCAGAATCTACAGATTTCCACTAACAGTGCTGTAAACTCCATAGGAAGGAGTATTTCTTCCACGTGTAATTTGACACAAAGTCTCAGCTTGAAAACATGCGTTTAATTACAGTTACAAAATATTTCAAACATGGTCAAAACATCTCAACAACTTAAACCCTTTTTTTCTGTTATTTGAATGGTCTGGTGACAATCTTCTTATGAAAACATACAGATTTTGCCCTTTACAAACATAAAAGTTACAACTTCTTTCCATTTTAAATTCCTTAAGTCCATTTAACCTTCACAGCTCTGTATACTACCCTTTAAAACATGCCCAGCTCTGAGGTGTATCAAGTCTGGTTGGGTCTGAGTCTTAGTTTTCATGAAGTCTGGCTGCAGGGAGTAACTTATGAAAACACATAAGGTATTAATACTGGAGAAATCTATCCAAGGATAGAGATGGAATAAGAAATGAGGTTAGTTCACAGGGTCACAAAATCATCTATGTTTCCACCAGACACTGTCAAGGAGCAGTAAAGGAAAAGTTCTGGTACCTGTGAGCTCGCTGCACAACCCTGGCAAACAGCACTGCACCTAATGGGTAAATTTGAGTTTTTGTGATACTGAGGTGGCAGAAGTTGACAGGCAAAGAAACTGCACAGATGTGTAGGAGAACACACCAAAATGCTGCTGTGTGAAACACAGCATTAAAACAATACACAGATGCAGAGTAAGTGACATCTTGAAGTAGCGCTTTGGAAGTTTTTTCATTTTGCAGATCCTAGAAATAGCCCAGTGGAGGTGCAAGCATCTGTTGTAAATGTGAGTCTCCTGCTATGAAGGTGAAGTTATTAGCTACCTGCCAAAAGTCCACTTAAATTAATCCAAGCGTCTCAAGGACACAAGACTACAGGTTGGAAATCAGAAATAGGAATAACTCTACACAAATAAATTGTTCTTACTGAATCAGAATAGCTAAAAAACTTAAATTAAACTATCTTTCAGATTGGATTCCTTGAAAACCTCACTATGCAGAAGTTTGAGGAAAATTCATCAAGTCCAAACAGGTTCAACTAAATCTATTAGTTCATCAAAATGAACAAGATTGGCATGAATCAGTTTTCATGATTAAACTCATGATTTGGAAGCACAGAGTATATATAAATTACTTTTTAATTAAAACTGTAAGAAGCATTAATATTGTCTCCCCAGAAGTTCCAACTGGGGACTCACTTTACTAGGTGTGATAATATTACAAATGCAACCCAGATCAGAGAATTTACAACGAAGAAAGTAAGGAAAGTTTGAAATGAAAACGAGAGCAGAAAATATAAACAACTGTATATCTTTTAATACAGGTTTTCTTGTTTTTAATAAGAATAACTTCAATGCTACCACATCCTACTTAAAGCGACCAGGACTTAAGTGTTATTCTGGAAACTGGTATCATTTTTAAATCAGACTGCAGCCATTTGACAATCTAGACCTTGTACATGCAGCTAAAAAGACAACGGCCTCTCCAAATAAAAAAATATCTTCTAAAGGCAACAATCACACCTCCCTGCCTGCTTAGCTGGAAGCAATGGTGCTAAGCTCTTCAGGAAAGGTTAATTTTGGAGAAAACAGCTATCTCCAAAGTTAGCTCAGGAAAGACTTCTTCATGGAAAAAGGTAAGACCACTGAAGAAGACGGCAAATAATCAGTGAATAAGGTGAGTGACTATCAAATAGTACCGAAATAATTTTCAACATACAAAAAGAACAGGGAGGGACAGAAGAGCAACTGCAAAGAATATTTATTTTCTACCAAAGCTTGGGTTTCCCTAAAAAGGGAAACAAAGCGACCAAGGTCTGTATGACTCACCCCAGACCAGCATGGTGATCTCTACCAAGCTTGTGATCTGCTTGTTCCCTCTGTGCAAATACAGATAGCTACAAGTCTGAGACAAAAAGAGCTGCCCAGCTGTTCTGCTAAGTAAAAGCAGCTCACAGCCCCCTTCACAGTTACCTCATTTTACTGGAAGATACTTTCAGTAGATTCGAAGTAGACTCTTGATGGCAAGAAAGAACAAATAACCGATTTTCTAGTACCCGTATGCCTTGCGGAAGTACTATCTATACATACCCTACTCCTTGCAGTACTGAATCGTTGTCCCCTCAAAATGAAATCTTTTGGCCAGCCATGTCTGTTGATACTGTACACTGACAAAAGCCTTGCTTGAAAAAGAGCTATTCAACTAACAGGATGAGAGAGTGTCCATATCATGTGAAAAATATGCAAGATAGGTGGAAATCAGAGACAGTGAACGCTGACTCTAGGAAATACGACTTTTATAGATTAAAATCTTAAACGAAATATCACTTTGTGTATACTTTGCTATGGTGCTTGGAAAATAAATATAACTTCTGCTTATAGTTTTAATATTACTAACATTTGCAAATAAAGAGACAGCTGTAGCCATATGACACAGTTTTGTAAGACATCAGCTTGGTAAAATGTGCATTAAAAACACAAATACTATAGAAACAAGAGAAAATGTTGCTTCTGCAAATTGTGGTACAAACACAAAAATACAGGTGTCAGATATGACATTTTATCTTCTCCAGTAACACACACAAAGGAATTATTTTTAGCAACAATCAAAGCCAGATGATTTATATGAAGTTCCTTCTCTACTATTATATAATTCATAATCATTTACATCCAACTGTATAATAAAACACAAGCTAGAAATAATCTAAAACATTCTTCCACTGCAGAATTAAGGTTGTCGAACAGTAAGACCTCACAATATTGCATGGGAAATTGAATTTTTAATGATGATCCTTTGCTATAAATTATACACCCTTTAAACATTCTCTTATGTATCAGTTGCTCCACTAAATATACACACAAAGTCTGCTTTGAAAAATATTAGTGATGCTTGTGTGTAAAGAGAAGGGGAGGGAGGAGGGGAGGGAGAAAGACTATCCAAGACACTAGTTTAAAATTAACA